CATATAAAATTTGAGAAAGATCCCTCTGGTACTTCTTGAGAAATAGCGATAACAAACTTTCAATATCAAAATCCAAGATGGCTGCCTGTCGGCCATGTTGTTTATCTGATCAGTCTCAAAAGTTGCCCTGCACAGCTCAGGACCAAGGGGAACCTACATATAAAATTTGAGAAAGATCCCTCTGGTACTTCTTGAGAAATACTGATAACAAGAATTGTTTACGGACAGACGACAGACGGCGGACGGCGGACGGCGGACCACGGACCACGGACCACGGACGGACGACGGACCACAGATGCAGGGTGATTTGAATAGCCCTCCATCAGATGATGGTGGGCTAAAAAGTTGACCAACACTAAAAATTCTGAAGATGATTTTTAAAACTACATATCAGTGATAAAGAGATAATTCATGAAGTCAAGATGAAGATTCTATAGAAATCATGTTAAATGAGATAAGGACACAATGGATAATTAAATAAATTAGATCATGGTAAGGGCACAATCTTTTATCAGGAGTAATATATTCCCATAACAAACAATTATATACCATAATTACAAATATACATTATGAATGATCCTTTGTTTGACGAAAGTGATCTGTATGATCCTAGAGTCCTAACTTACACTGAATTCCTACAAAATTTCATTAAACATCTGGTCCCTAATTTTATTATAAATCAAAACAATAGGCCCAATGGGCCTGAAAAGCTCACCTGGTATTAATCTCATACCAGTAACCTTCAAAGCGGACTAAGAGTGAACATATTGAAATGGGTTAAGTTAAGCAAAATGCCAACTATCACCATCCTGGGCCTTGCTTCCAAGAACATATTTGATCCCAGCTGTGACCTTGAAAGTAGGTTGAGGTTAATTATTTGAACAAAAGTTGTAGCCCTTCATCCCAGCATGCTTCTGGCCAAATATCATGTCCCTGGGTCTTTTGAATATTGAGAATTAGTGTTAACAATTTTAACATATTTGACACCTGTGACCTTGAAAGTCGGTTAAGGTCATTCATTTGAACAAACTTGATAGCCCTTCATCCCTGCAATTTATGCTACTTGCCAAATATTTTCATCCTTGGCCTTTTGATTATTCAGATGAATTTGTTCAAACATTGGGCAACAGTGACCTTGAAATTGAGTCAATGTCATTCATCTAAACAAATTTGTAGCCCTTCATCCTTGTATTCTACTTGGGATATATATGAACATATGAGCTAAAAAGTTTAACATGGACTGTGTGCATTTTTATCAAGTATGAGTTAGACGGATATGGTTGCTTAACTAATTCACCCCTGAAATTTCATAATGAACTGTTCCAACCTTTGAATTGGAGGAGTTCAAATGTGTCGTCAGGGGTGAATGAGTAAATACGGTACAGTTAAACAGAAGAAAAGTTTAGGAGGAATGAAAAGTGGGTTACATAAAGCAGACAGTCATTTAATACAGATCTAGATAGTTTCATGAACAGTTCTTAGCCTGACCTTATTTACCTGTCAACTAAACATAATAATAGGTCTTAAACTAGGCAAGCAGTTAATGTATTCATAGCCTAGAACAGGGAAATGAGACAAGCCTCTTACCAAATGAAAGAAATTATAATTATTTTGCTGAGAGTATGCACTGTAAAACAATGGTACAAGTAATGATCAATGTCAGTACAATACGACTGGCCATCAAAGTCAATTATGTGACCCTTCCTGATTGTATCTTAAGTTTATCACCCTTAGTTAATCTATACACAAACTCACACCTATTCCTTATTCATCAGTGGTGAATGAAAATGTCACATGGAATCCCACATATAGTCTATGGCAGTATGTAATGCATGTCGAAAGGTGTCCAGTGGTATTATAATACACAGCACTACTACACAGCCCACCATTACCGTAATAATCCCTGTGGGCAGAACTGTTCTGTTCAGCGATAAGTTAGGGTTAATGATGACAATTTAATGGTGAATGTGATTATTACGACATTAGAGGTGATTTGCTTTCAGAAATATTGTGATTTAACATTTTATCTCAAAAAGGAGATCAATTTCAAAATGGTCATCCTCTTTTAATTGTATCAAATCAAGCTAAAACAAATACCAACAAAGTGATTAGCTCACAAATATATGGATTTCAATGCAAAAGGTGACATCAAAAACGGATTACAAAGTAGAATTGTTTAATTTTCCACTGAAATCTAACTCTTCTTTTTTTCCTCTCTTAATCCCTGAATGAAAATTCTTGTCATTTTGAATATCTGAAGAAATCTGGGGGGTCCTCTATAACAAAAAAGCACACTGAAAAGAGAATATTCCATAAGAGGGTTCATATTCTGATATAAAATTTTGACCTGAGAATTTAGAAACACTGTCTTATCTGACCCAAGTAGATAGACATACTGTCTTATCTGACCCATGGGTATTCAAACATACTGTCTTATCTGACCCAAGTAGATAGACACACTGTCTGACCCAAGTAGATAGACACACTATCTTATCTGACCTCCTCTGTGTATTTAAACACAGTCTATCTGACCCAAGCAGATAGACACACTGTCTGACCCAAGTAAATAGACACACTGTATTATCTGACCCCTGGGTATTCAAACATACTGTCTTATCTGACCCAAGTAGATAGACACACTGTCTGACCCAAGTAGATAGACACACTATCTTATCTTACACCTGGGTATTCAAACATACTGTCTTATCTGACCCAAGTAGATAGACACACTGTCTTATCTGACCTCTGTGTATTTAAACACAGTCTTATCTGACCCCTGTGTATTTAAACACAGGGGTCAGATAAGACAGTGTGTCTATCTACTTGGGTCAGACAGTGTGTCTATCTACTTGGGTATTCAAACATACTGTCTTATCTGATCCAAGTAGATAGACACACTGGCTGACCCAAGTAGATAGACACACTGTCTTATCTGACCCCTGTGTATTTAAACACAGTCTTATCTGACCCCTGTGTATTTAAACACACTGTCTTATCTGACCCATGTGTATTTAAACACACTGTCTTATCTGACCCATCAATTTTTAAACAGTCTTATCTGACCCCTGGATATTAAGACACACTGTCTTATCTGACATGAGTATTAAGACACTGTCTTATCTGACCTGAGTATTAAGACACTGTCTTATCTGACCCAAGTAGATAGAAATTTTCTAATCTGACATCTTGTTATTTAGACACCCTATCTTATCTGACCCAAGGAGTTAGACATCCTATCTAATCTGACAAGAGAAAAATACTGTTTTCTAGATATAATATGAATGTTATCATACTACTGGTCAAACATCATCACCCTGAACCTCCTTGTTATTCTGAATAATTTTTGTTTTTAATTCTTATTTTATTCCTGTGACCTTAAAAGTAGGTCAAGGTCACTTAATTGGAGAAAACTTTATAGCGCTTCATTCCAGGTACCTACTTGTCAAATATCTTGACCCTAAAGGTCCTCCATGTCTTAAGAAAAAGTTGTCCAAAGGAAAATGTTGATGAACACACAATACCATAAGCTCACAGCTGGCACAGGTACAGGTGAGAACTGTTATCAAGAGTCTAACAACTCACCACATGACTTATGCTGTATCATAATAATTACCCCTGCAAACGTGGAATGCTTGTGTACTTCGTGGACGGTTTCAGTCAGTGGACCACAAAACAGTACACCATCCATTTAAACAACAGAAGTTCCTCTTTTCCTTACAATGCTTCACACAAAAAATGGTTAAAATCCCTTCACCTGTACAGAAGGAGAAGGATTTAAAATAATTACAT